ACATTTTCACCTTACATATGTCTTATATGTTAAGTTTATGTATTTTAGTTTGAGCTAGTATGCTCTTTAAAATATTTAATTTGTTCCATAATTCAGGTTTGCATTTTTTTTATTTATTAATTTTTATTTTTCTTAAAAAAGTTTGCTTTGCATCATGCCTTGTGCATTTTGAACATTGACATGTTGATGCTTAGGCGACAAAAATAAATAATAAGCATTACATGTTTTTATCAGCAAAAAGATTAATTTTATTAATGGGTGGTAAAAGTTACAATAGATTGGGTATCCAATCACCCAAAAATACAAAACACAACAATGTCCATATAACTAATTTACAATAGAGCCCAGAATAACTGCTGCCACAATACCCCTTGCTTAGCTAAAGAGTCAGCAATCCTGCATGTCAAAGTGAAGGAAGCATTCAAGTCCCCTTTCAGACTCTCTATCTCCCTTGAGGAATGTCTGTAAGCCCAAGGTACATTGTAACTAGAAGTGATTCAAGAAATAACCATTTTAGAATCTCCTTCAACTTCCAAATTTCTAAAATTGGATTGCTTAGCAAGTTTTAGGCCTTGTAATAGTGCCATCAATTCAGCCTTGAATGAGTCCCCTTCTCCTATAGGTCCTAAGTACATGGCCAGCATTTTACTTGAGGAGTCTCTAAACACACCAGTGACACCACCAATACCTGCCATCCCCGGGTTTCCCATAGAGCTCCCATCAAAATTTATCTTTTTCTTATCCCTTACTGGTGACTTCCACTCCATCATCTCTCTTTCCTTTTGTTTGAAAGAGTGTGCCACCTCATTCCAATCCCTTATTGTATTAGCCACTATAAAACATTGGAAGGTGTCAAAAGTTTTTATCCAATGAACCACTTTAATTTTTATTAATTCCACCAACTCCTCCTTTGACCTAAGCTTCTCATTAAATATTCTTGCATTCCTCTCCTCCTAAATGGTCGACACTACAACAGTTCTAACTGCCTTCCACATTGTTCTCCCTCATTTTGTTGGCTGTCTTAGGAAATATGGATTGAAGAGACTAACTACATCCTAGGGAGTTATCCACCTGCAACCAAAAAGAGTCCCAAATAAACAACACAAAGGGACAAGAGATCAGTAAATGGGGTAAGGATTCACCATTTGCAAAACAAAGAAATCACACATTAGGGGAAGGATATCTATTCGGCCTCCTTTTTGAAGCATATCACAGGTGTTCACATTTCCAAGAAAAACCTCCCAGCACAGTGCTTGAACTTCAGGTGGCATGGGCTTACTCCAAGTTTCTTTCACTGGGAAATTCTCTCCCACCTCTAAAGGTTGCAAAACTGAATTGAAAAAAGAGGCACAAGTAAAAATACCATCAGGGGAGGTAGTCCAAGCTCTAGTGTCCTCCACAATTTGAACCAAGATAGTAGACTAGAGCTTATCCAATAGCTGAATAAGGGTCTCACACTCACTATCTCTCAGCCCCCTTCTAAAACCAAAGCCCAACATATACATATTTTTCTATGTATGTGAAGTTTATATACATATGCAAAGTGTATCTGCTCAACATATGTGGACTTGGCTGGATTCTATAATTCCTTGTCTGTTTCAGCCCACATGAAATTCTTTTATAATGTGAGCATGAAAGACAGCAGCCATGACATGAATATATAATTCTCCCGCTCCCACTTTTCATGAACTGGACCTTCATCTTTGGGTTCCTTTATCTTGCCAATCAAACACCCTAGCTTCTATTACCTACCAACAAGTAGTCAAATTAATTTATCCCATTTTAAGTAGTTTAAACCATCTTGAGCCTAGAGGCATAAAGGATATATGAAAATTCATATTCCTATCACAGCCACCAATCAAAGGACAAATTCCAAGAACACCAAATGTGGCTGAATCATCGGTTCATAGCAGGCAACCAACAAATCAGCCCTCTTCCTAGTTTTTTATCCCCCACACATGCAGAAACCACTAGATCACCAGTACATTACCAGGATCTGAGAAAGGCACCAAACCAGCACAGCAGAATCTTTTAAGTATCTCTCAAACCACCATCAAATGGATCAGGCCACCCAAAAGGAATATTCTTTTGGTTTTACAACTAAAAAAAAACGAAAAAGAAAAGGGAGTTCTCTCTTGTATCCAATTTAGTCCAACATTATATACTCCTATTCTAGCATGTTAGATCTGGTAAAAAAAAAGAGAATAGAACAAGAAAAAAGGTTGTGTTTGATCAGATTTATGACAAATAATGCTCTGATACCATGTTATCTGTCATAGAAGTAAGAAGAGAGAAAGGAAGAGAAAGGAAAAGAGAACAGCACAAACAGAATGGTATAATGGTGTGTGTCAGGACCCACACAACTATTTTATTACGAGTGTTTAAAACATGTCTAAAGGTCATATTAATGCTGCATCCCAATACAACAGATTTACAACAATACACTATATGTTAACTATAAACTACTAAATAACAAAGTAAATCAGAAACTAATCTAATGACAACTTACACCTTATAATGATGGAGAATAACGAATAACGTGAGGTTTTTGTCATTCAAAATTGTTGAATGCATGGCTGCTATATTTATAATACTATCAGTATACAGGATGTATATGATCTGTTACATTACAGCATAAAGATATGGATTACATAAACAAATTGTTTGAATTATCAGATAAGAGGTCTAAGCAAGAGTATCTCCTGATAATCGAGATTCATGCAGCTGGTGTGTCCTTAAGACACCCCCTCAAGCTCAAGAATCCTAGTAGAACTTTGAGTTTGCTTCAGATAAGAACAAGATGTGGTGTGGAGAGACCCTTGGTGAAAATATCAGCTATTTAATCATACGTCGAGAAGATATGACGAACCTTAAGGGGCTTTAGAATACCACCATCCTGATGAACCAAAAATCCACTTCCACATGTTTAGCTTTGGTGTGATAAATAGGATTGGTAAATAGATACATAGTGCTGATATTATCACACAACAAAATTGGAGGAGATGAGGGTGAAATTCTGAATTCCTGCGAAGAAATGAGTCCAAATAACTTCCGCAATAGCATCAGAAAGGACACAGAATTCAAATTTCATGCTAGACCTAGCAATTTTAGGGTTCCTAGAGAGATAATGGAAACTATCTTTTTATGCAAGCAGGTCAACCATGGAAACTATCCTTTTATTGAGACAACTGATGGAAAAGTTTAGGGAGAAGAAGAATGATCTTCATAAAATGCCAAAGGTTAGGACCATAGTCTACCCCTCCCAAGACCTGAACCAACGTTGAGTAATGGCCTTAGATGCAATATTAGACATATGGACAAATACCTTAGAAACAAGAGGTTTTAACTTTTAAAATGAGTATGACTAAAACAGAAATATATGCAATGTAAATTAAAATAATAGGAATAAAAATCATTGGAGACCAAGAGATATCTCAATTGTGACTTCCTTCATTACCTTGGTTTTATGATCAATATCATGGGAGAGATTGAGGAGGATGTTGTTCTTATAATTAAAGAAAGATGGGCAAAATGAACAAGTGCATCTAGAGTCTTATATAATAGGAAAATACCATTTAGGATAAAAAGGAAAAGTTTTATAAAACAATTATAAGGCCAGGAACATTGTATGGAGTAGAGTGTTGGACAATCAAGAAAAAACATATATAAAAAATGAGAGAGACAGAAATGCAAATGTTGAGATGGATGATTGGAAAACTAGAAAGGATAAGATAAATAAATTAACTTATTCGTAGAAACCTAAGAACATCTCCAGTAGGTGATAAAATGAGGGAAAGTAGACTAAGATGGGGGCATGTGCAGAGAATACCTTCTACAGTAGTAATGAGAAGTGGTATACTACAAATTGAAGGGGCTAGAAGAACTGGGGGCAGACCAAAATGGACATGGGCTATGAGAAATTATTTAAGGGCCTATATTTTAACAATGGATTGAACAGAATGGAATGTGAGAACAGGATTCATGTAGCTGACCCCATATAAATAGGACAGGGCTTAGATGATGATGATGATGATATGCATATTGGATATTGGATTGGACAGAAGTGGAATACTCTTTGGTTTTGCCTATTGGATTAGACAGAAACATTATCAAAGAGGCACACTATAAATTGTTCACCTTCTGTGTGGGGCAGAAGTGGAACACCCTTTGCAAATCACTACCATCATTGCCAACTGCAGAAGCATAATCCAAAACTTCTCCAACTTCTCAATAATTCATACTCCAAGATCATTAAACTCCACAGCATACCCCCTTGCAAAAACTTGCAGCTACATCTTTTATAGATAAATCTTGGGATGACTCAATGTGCAGCTAGAGAGAAGCACTCACCATAAGCATAATATGCAGAAAATTCATTTATCATACCAATATCACTTTTTTTCTTTTTTCTTTTTTTTTTTTTGCCTTTTTTGCAACAATAAACACATCATTCGGCTTGTTTGCTCTCGTATCACATAGTTTATACCCATTTTCGATCAGTTTTCCCATTTACTTTTGCTGTTTTTTTATCTTTCCTTATTTTACTTAAAAAAAAAAAAAAAACTCCCCTTAATAATATACTATTAACAACACATAGCCACACCACAAATCCATAAAAGATTAAGAAATATAAAATGGAAAAATTATATAATTCTGAAAAATGAATGGGTATCAAACAGAACTGATAACAGGGTTTTCTAACAGAATATATAAAACGAATGAAAGAAAAGCAGCACCCAAGCAAAATAAAAAATGGGGATGGAAAACCAAAATTGTGTTCAGATTCATTTTAAACAGAGAGGGAGGAATTAAATAGATTAAGAATTATGAATAGCTTCATAACGCCCCTATATAGTTCATCTGAAACGAGGATAATATCTAATTCAGCACTAATAAAATTTGCAAATATACTCGGAACAAGACCAACAGATAAGGAACTACATGAGCTTGAGACACGCTTTTGAAAAAGAAGAAAGGCGATGGAGAGAGTAGAAACTAACCGCTAACGTAGAGCTTGGTGGAAACTGTAGTGGTGTTCTCAGGCGAAGAAGGGAGACACCCAACAATCCTGATGCCATTTTGGTGTCTTAAGCGAGTCGCTGATAGGGAGTGAGAAGGGAAACACAGGGAAGACAAAGAAAAGGAACTGCAGCCATGACGAAGAAAAGCAGAAGTTGTTTCCCTTTGCTTCCCTATGTTTTTCTGTGACGATGATAATGATGACGGAGCAAGAGAAGCAGCCACTAGAGAAGCTGTTGCCATTTCTCTGCGGAAGGAACCGAGCAAACCTGCTCGGGATGCTAATGATAAAAACCGTTGAGGGAGAGCACCTGTGCGAAGGGGAAAAACTTTGGCTGTTAGGTAAACCGCTGTAATGATCGTAGGCAAAAAGGCATTTTACACTCAATATTGAAAAGATCAGTTAATATATCATGTGCAGAGGCTCCCAATTTGAAAGTGAACTCTCTTCTATYTATCAAATAAATGGTGTCGATAATTTTTTATCTTAATTTACATGTGCATCAATTTCATTGAGGTGGAACCTAATGGCACCTAATTGCGTCTAATTGTCAACAAATTATGACAAAACGTTTATCAGTATCCGGTAAAAATTATATATGCTCTTTTATACATAATAATATTAAAGTTGAATTAACCTAAACTTTTTGAGTTTAAGAAATAACATTTGGCAAAAGGATTGGAGGTAATGAAGTTGGCCAACCTGAGCCCAACCTAATGTCAATCCAACTCAAAGTTTTAGGGTTGAGATAGGGTTAGGGTTGGGGGTTCAATAGCTCGGGTTAGGTTAGGTTTGATCTCAATGTGACCTAACCAAGTCCAATTTGCACATCTAATTGCAATAGTATTAATGTTTTTTCTTTTTATTTTTGTCTATGTTATGCATGCTTAATGGCATCTAGCTGGCTTAAACTATAAAAAGAAAAAAAAAAAAAAGTATCTAGAATCAACTATCCACTTCTCAATTTTGAAGGTATAAACATCATCTTAAAAAAACATCCATGACACCAAACGTGCCACTAATTAAAGGAGATTAAAATAATTTAGTGTAAAGTGCAAAGTAGATGGTAGTTTGGTTAAACTATTACAGAGGTTAAAAGTTGCCTATATAAAGTTAATGAAAGTTATACACATAAAAATGAATTTTAGTATTTTACCCATTATTCTAAGATAATTACTTACAATGTTGGAGAAACCTTCCAAAACCATCAAATATGATGATAAAACAAATTAAAAGGAAATGCATATTTGTACTTTCATATGCACTTAAGAATGCATATTTAACTATCGTGTATAAAATACACGTATATTATACACGTATATTATACATTTGATTTATACACAAAATTACATGTATAAATATATCAAATATGTATATGAAAATTTATTAATGAAACTTATATACATATTTTTAATCCTTTTTGCTCATAAATAAATTCCAATAAAAGATGAATGCCCAAAATAGATTAAAAAATCCTTGCAAATCCAACCAACCCACCTGGGTCCAATTCAAGCCTGAACCTAACATGAGTTGTATTGGGTTAAGTTCTGGTTGGGCCTGGGGTGGATAACCTAGGCTTAACCTCAAGTTGGGCCAAGCCAGAGCCCAAGTTTTGAAGCTTAGGGTTAGACTTGGGTTGACCCCCAACCCAAACCAACCCACTCGAGTTGCACCCCTAATGGGTTAGGAGATTTGGGGAGGCATGGATTAAACCCATAATTATTTAATGTAAATTAAATAATTAACAATTAAATCCATAATTAATTATTGTAAGTTAAATCCATAGTTAACTATACTTTAAACTAAATAAAGTTGTAACTTTCAATTAACAAAGTTAAGTAAATTGAATACTATAAATTAAGTAATTAATATTAATTAGTCTCCTATTAATTTTGACTACATGGCTTTTTAAAAATTTAGGAGATTAGATGGTGAAAATCACGCAAAAGATTAACATGATCAAACATGTAGTTTTGTAAACGGGTGAGCCTTTTATGAAACGGATGTGGGTTGGGTCATCTAAACCCAAAGCAACTATCTTTTACACTTGATTTGTTGTTATAGTGCTCTATTGAACCAAGGAGAATTGCAACATCAGAGAAACTCTAAATGTCCTCTAAATAGCACCTAATATATTTTCACGACATCGGCAACTCATTAGAAGTAAATGCCCAACCATAAATCAATGAAACTGTTAGTTTTTTACAACATTAAAAGGTTGAATATGTGTTCACTATAGATATGATATGTCATGAAAACAATCAATTCATTGTGTAACAGAATGTGTAGAAAAGATAAGCTATATATTCAGTTTACAATGTTCCAAGTTGTTTAGAAAAGAAAGGTTGATTGTGACTCACTTCATGGTGTAACAAAGAGTCTAGAAAAACGACATTGAGTCATTTCATTGGGTGACAAAAACAACAATGGAGTTTTTGTCAGATAAATAAAAAAACAGTTGCAAATTTTCACAAATGCATTAACTCACCTAGTTTGGTGACCTAATTAAACCTTATTTTTCCACTTGGTTTGGGGATAAATGTAATTCACAATAGCTAAGTCATGAAAAAAAAGCATTATTTCTATATGTAAAACGGGAAAAAATACAAAGTATATTTGAGACTTTCTCTAAGCTATTGGAATTTTGAAAAGATTGAAGACATTACAATGAAATAAGACAAAGATTTACTTATGAGAAAACGATATTCTCTTTTCTTATGTATAAACCAAACAATGAATGGGGGTGGAGACCTTATTTTGGCTCCAAAGCGAATTTTTAAGTTTGCTAGTGTATTATGATGGAACAAATAATTTTTTGAAAACTTTCCTACTATTTCATGATGTAAAATTATAATTGAATGTGAATGATGTGACCATGGAGAAAAAGAGAAAGTGACAATTTGAGAAAGGAAAAATGAGACTATTAATGTAGATTAATGAGAGAGCAATGAAAGTTAGGGATCTAAAGTTATCGATTAGAATAAGGAAGAAAGTTATAACATTGGTTACTAATTCTTACTAACTACTAACTATACAAACATTTAATTGTTTTGCTTTTACATTTGTATAGCATTTATTGCTTCATTTATTATTCAACTACATTACTTACTTTTAGTAACTAAATTACTTTTGAAATTGCAGTGGTAGTTCTTTTATTTTATTTATCATTCAACTTGAATTTTAAGTTAATACTTTATATTAATCAACTATTCTCTCAGCTATCATCTTATGGCTGATCCTTAATTTATAGCTACAAAACTCAACACACACATTATACAATTATCATTTACTTTCAATTACATTACATTTTCATAGCTATTTAAGTTTATTGTTAATTCTTTATTTAACCGCTAATTCCACTAACATTTACAGTTGAGAAATATTAAAGTATTAGTATTCAGTATCATATCGAACAATTTGGGTACAAATACAGATACATATATGCTTTGGAAATGTATGTATACAGATGAAAGATATGAAAATACATGGATATGCCAAAAAATATATGCAAATTTCATAAATACATAAATTACGATAACTTTAAAGTCAAAATAACTACAAATAAAGTATAACTACATAATAAATGTATATTATATAAAGAAATATTTTACAAATTAATATAAAGGATTCCACAGATATCGTACAACTTTGTTGATAACCCATCGATCAAGAGTCCATGACACAGACTATATAGATCTTTACAAATTAATGCATACATAAAACCATTATTATGTTATATTCTATTTAAGTCCAAGAAATAAAATATATACAATTATTATATTTTAATTACTATATCAATTATTTTTTTATTTTACTATTTTTACTTTCCAACACAAATGAAACAAGCTAACTAAATATTAAATTTTGAAATGTATGATAAACAATATATTTCTTTTTGTAAATAAAAAATTTTATTAGAAAATATAAATTAAAATATCAATTGATAATTTACAAAATATATAATCTTAACTTAAAATATTTCATATTTATATATTAAAAATTGTAAAATACATATCATAGAAAAATTCATAATTTTTAATTACTAAAATAAGTAATATATTCTTAACATTTTTATTTCAATAATTTTTTTTAAAATAAGAAGTCATTTTTATATAAATTGAAATTAGTGTATTTGATAGATTGAATATAACATTTTATGCTTAAATATTTTGTAAGCAAAATTTTTAATTTTTATAAAAAATAAATATGTTATTGTCTAGTGTAAATAAAAATAGCAATATATATCCATGTAGAAATGTATGAATTTTAAGTACTAAAATAATTATTCTATTATTAATATTTTTATTTGTATAATTTTTTTAGAGTGAAAAATCAATTTTAATATAAATATAAAATTGGTAGAATTCTTATTTCATTTATAATTATAAATACTAATTTTTAATATTATTCTATTTAAGTTTAAGTTGGAATTGTTGAATACATTACTATTTCATAAGTCATTTCTTTAGAGTGCATGTTTATGATTAAGATAATAAAAGTAATTATATTTCACTTATAATCACAAATTAAATGGGGGTTTAGTGGCTTAGTGACTTAAGACGTTAAAGGCTAAACATTTAAACCTGGGTTTGAAATCCATTTATCGCATTTTTAATATCAATGTTGTGCATGTATCCATTTATATCGACATGTATTGGTGAATATCAGTCGATACGATGCAATAGGCACCAATACAATGTCTTATCGTATTAATACACATGACTGACATGATACAATGTTAGTCGTAGCGTATTTACTATCGTTCACTAACGATATTAATATAATATGCTTCGTATCGGACATATTGTTACTTTAAATTAGTTACTTATGATTATTATTCTATTTTTATTTAATTTTTAACACTTAAAACTATTGTGGTAATATWTTATTCATTTATTTTTAATTATAATTTATCTTTCAATAATTAGTTAATCCTATTGATTAATTTTCTACATAGATATTGTTATTCTGATTAATTCCCTATTTTATTATATTTTTTTATTGAATATTTAAAAGGTTTAGTTTCAAATTAGGAATAAGATTTTAAGTTTAAATTAAACTAACTTTTAAATTATACCTAATTTAACCCTCTTGGGTAAAGCTACCGATCCCAACATATTTGTTAGTATATAATTTTATTATACTTAGTGAATTTTCTATAACTTATTTGTATTAAATTTACCATGTCCATTACTATAAATGGCAAAAAACAATTCACATAAATAATAMAAAGTGATTATTTATTTTTTATCACATTAGTGGTAAATTAAATATAAGTGAAAATAATACAATATGTGAGTATTGTAAGTAATAATTTTATCATAAATAGTATAATGACATGCAAATTTTGTTAATGGGATTTGCTCAATAATAACAATAAATGAATCATGTATCAATTGAATTAAGTAATTTAATGA